GGAGAGAAATGGAAATCGATCTAGACATAATAGACACAATTGAAGCCAAAAGACTTAACTGGTATGGACACCTTCAGAGAATGCCAGAAAACAGATGGCCAAAAAAAATAGAAGAATGGACTCCGCCAACTAGAAGAAAACGAGGTAGACCAAGACGATGCTGGAGAGACGATGTCGACGATGCAATGATTGATGATGCAATATCTGGGTACAATAATTAATGAAAATAATGAGTACACAGAAGAGAATAGGACAGGCAAGAATAGGACAGGTAAGAAATTCTTTCAACAAACTGAAAAAAGTACGCTGCAGAAGGGACATTTCAATTTCTTTAAAGATAAGACTTATGAGATGCTACGTGTTCTCCGTATTATTTTATGGGTTGGAGGCTTGGACTTTAAAGAAAGATGTTTCGCACAAATTGGAAGTCTTCGAGTTATGGGCCTACAGAAGAATATTAAGAATAAGTTGGGTAGATAGAGTCGCGAATGTCGAGGTGTTGAGAAGAATGGATAAAGATAAAGAGGTCTTAAATACAGTTAAAGTCAGAAAACTGCAATATCTGGGACATGTTATGAGGGGCGAGCATTAAAACTTGTTGTAATTAATAATGCAAGGAAGAATACAGGGTAGAAGGAGTCGCGGAAGAAGAAGCATCTCCTGGTTAAATAATTTGAGAGCTTGGTTTAACTGCACTTCTGCTGACCTCTTTAGAGCAGCGGCGTCGAAAGTGCGAATTGCCATGATGGTTGCCAACCTTCTTAGAGGAGATGGCACGTGAAGAAGAAGAAGTCTACAACACACCATGATATGTTACATCCTCGTCAAGTACGATATATTTACGAGTGTCAGTCAGTAATAACAACAAGTTTTGCGTTATTTTTATTACAGACAAAAAAACGCAATATACAACAGATTGACGAACAAAGGATTCAGAACCAGTTTTGACTTATGGAAACTAAACTCCTATCTCCACTAAAACAGCGGCAAACGAAAAATCAACACAAAGTTAAACTGGGCTGGTCATGTGCCAAGACTGAATAATGGCAAGTGGACAAATAATAGGGCAAAAGTGGGATATATGCCGTAGGAAGATAGATGCTCAATAATTCATATTGTAATTTATAAAAGCACTACAACTACAACTAATACTTATGCTTATTATAATATTAATGATAGACCCCTTTCCACCTCGCTATTGTTCAAACAAACTCCAGCGCTATAATGCGCGCGGATCATACTGATATTTATCTATTTAGTTATTATTGACGCATTTGTTAAAAAGATTTCCATTTAAATACTTTCTTTAACTATTTTAACAAAAACTTTAGTGTTTAATTTTATTCTACTATTATATTTCCTTAATACAAACTCTCTAAAGTGACAAAAATTTCAGATTTACTATTAAAAATAAAATTATTCCAAAATAAGTAACTGCCAACGTGATTCGTTCCAATGAAAACCAGTTATAAATCGGCAACACCCAAAACTTGATCAAGTAAACTAGGACATGTTTTTTATAGGTATTATCAGTAAAATTAGTTTCGCCTTCTTACATTTTTATTGGTGAATCGATAATTTTGGGTATGACTGTGTGTTACTGGTCACACCACTAACGAATAGCTGCTTAGTGTGTTGTTTTTTAAAGGTGTGTGACTAAAGCTGAAATATTACTTGATAAAATGATAAACCAATAAAAAGGAAACATGCCTTTAACACTTGGTAAGTTTAATATAGTCACAGTATAAAGAGGTGGAACCTCTTACACTGTGATATAGTTATGGAAATTGTTAAGAATTCATTACTTAAGATGAAGTGCTAAAAAAGCTGCAACTTTCGATTCTTTTTAGTATATATAGGTATATACTCAATCTGAATATTACCGAAACAGTTGAAATTAGATATTTTATATTATTACAAAATAGTAATTAGAGCAGTGGTTACATATGGATGTGAAAAGAGAACTCTTTTAACCGCTGATGAAAATCAATTAAGAATATTTGAGCGCAAAATATTGAGGAAGATATTTGGACCATCCTATTGTAGCGAGGGTTCGTGGAGAATAAAAATGAACTATGAGCTGGATGAATTAATGCATATCGCAGATATCGTTAGATTTGTAAAATCAAAAAACTAAATTCTTCTTCTTCTTCTTTCTATATAGACATGACTCTGTCTGTTTTTCAATGTGCCTCTAGTAAGTTATCATTCCATCGCTTTCGTGGTCTTCCTACTGACCGTCTTCCTATTGGGGAACAGTCTCTTGTCGTCTTTACTACTCTATTTGTTGTCATTCGGCTTATATGATCGTTCCATTCTACTCTTCTATTTCTTACCCAGTTTTTGATGTCCTCCACCTTGCATCTATGTCGTATATCTGTACTACTAGCTCTGTCCCATAGTGTCTTACCATCAATAAGTGTATTCATCTCTGTTGTTTCCAACATCCTTTTTCTCCTCTCTGTGTCAGGTCTTGTTTCTGCCGAGTATGTCATTATTGGTCTGATGACTGTTTTGTAAATTCTTCCTTTCGTTTCATTCCCGATATTATTATTTCTCCATATTGTTTCATTTAGGCAGCCTGCGGCTCTGTTTGCTCTATTCACTTAATCTTCCACTTCGGTTTCAAGCTTTCCGTAGCTAGATGTGATGCCTAGATATTGAAACTTCATCATCTTCTTCTTCTTAAAGTGCACTCTCCTCAATGGAGGTTGGCTACTACAATTTTAAACTCTTCTCTATCTTCAGTTGTTCAAAATTTAGCCCTGTCCATTGTCGGATGTTTCTGAGCCACGATAGTCTTTTCCTTCCTAGGCCTCTCTTTCCCTCGATTTTTCCTTTCACTATAAGTTGGGCATATTGGTACCTACTTATTATTTCTCAGTATGTGGCCTAGGTATGATGTTTTTCTAACTTTTACTGTGTTAAAAAGTTCTCTTTCCTTGCCTATTCTATGCAGCACTTCTTCGTTCGAGGTATGCGATGTCCATGAAATTTTAAGTATTCTCCGGTAGATCCATATTTCAAAGGCCTCCAATTTATTTACGGTTGATGCTTTAAGGGTTCACGTTTCAACTGCATATAGAAGAGTCGACCAGACGTAGCATTTTGATAAACGTAGTCAAATTTCGAGTTTTATTCGAGAATCACAAAACAGTTTTTTTATTTTTTCGAAAGATTTTCTGGCCTGTTCTATTCTCGATCTTATTTCTAGATCAGGATTTAGGCTGCTATCGATCCAACATCTCAGGTACTTAAATCTATTGACCTGTTCTAAAATGTGCCCATTTATTGTGCAAGGTTGAGGTACGTTTTGGTTTTTTCGGATTGACATCACTTTGGTTTTTTTAATGTTTATTTTCATACCAAATTGCTCATAGGTCGAGTTGGTCTTGTCGATGAGTCGTTGTAGACCTAGGTCGGAATCCGCAATTAACACTGTATCATCGGCGTATCTGATACTGTTGATATTTACGCCATTGATTCCATCCTTGGAATCCTCCAATGCTTCTTTAAATAGAAACTCGGACTAAAGATTAAACAGCAGAGGCGACAGAACACATCCTTGTCTAACTCCCCTCCTAATTTCTACTTCTGCGGATGTGAAACCTTCGATCCTAATTCTGGCGTTTTGGTTCCAGTACAAGTTTTTTTAAGAATTTGATGTCTTTTCCATCTAAACCGACTTCTTGCAAACGTCCTAATAGTAGGTCGTGTCTTACTCTATCAAATGCTTTTTCGAAGTCTATAAAGCATATAAATATATATTTCTGTTGGTCGTAGCATTTTTGGGCGAGAACTAGTAAAGTGAACAGGGCTTCTCTCGTTCCCATGCCGGCTCTGAATCCAAACTGATCGTCTCCGATAATTGTTTCGCACTTTCTATAGATACGATTATGTACGATTTTTAATAGGACTTTTACTGCATGACTCATAAGGCTTATCAGACGGAACTCATTGTAGTGTTGTGGGTTTGGCTTTTTTGGTAGTGGGATGAATATTGACTCCAGCCAATCTTGGGGTATTTTACCTGTATCATAAATGCGATTGAATAAAAGGACAAATATTTCAATATTTTCTTCGCTGATTAATTTTAACGTTTCTGGATATATTCCGTCTGGACCTGGGCTTTTATTTGTTTTGAGATGAATAATTGCATTTATGATTTCAGATTTCAGAATTGTTGGCCCTTCGTTGTTATTTTCCAAACTTGGTTCTTCTCGTATGTCGTGAAAAAGAATTTTAATATAGTTTTCCCATTCTTTCAGTTTATCTTCCGTTGATTCTAGCAGTTTGCCATCTTTGTGCCTTTGTTGCAGTTCTTCTATTTCAACGCATTTTGTTTCCAGCCATTTCTCTTCTCTCTTGCGTTGTAACCATGCATTTTGTCTTTGTTGGGGAAATTAACATGTTACATTTTTGGCGGTTATATTAAATTGATGCAGCATACATTGTAAATCATCTTCACTTTGAGCAAGTAGTATTGCATTGTCTGCATAGCAGATTATTTTAAGTTGTTTTTCTCCCATTTGGTATCCTTTTTTGTTTTTGTTTTATTATTTCATCCTCTTTCATCCAACAAAACTAAATTGAATTAGGTATTTAGAAAGAATCGAGCTGTAAAAATAATCCAGAGATAGAAACACCAAGAAAATAGGACAAAAAGAAGGCCACAAATGGTGAACACGCTAACAGACTGCCAACTAAAATAAGTGGTAAAATAAAGTGAGATGGAAACCAAACGTAAAACAGTCTACAGTGTATAGATGGATTTAAAAAATATAAAAAACACGCAAAGAAGAAAACGAACAAATCTATCAACAAGTTAATAAGTTTTATTAATATACATATTATGTTTAACCGTAAGAGATCTTTTGTTTATAAACATTTTTGTGTAGTATGGGTTGAGTAAATGCATTGTGTAGTAGCTTCATTGTCTTTAGCATGATTATAACATCACATTCATTAAAATTTATTTTAATTGTATAAAAATAACTTACTTTAAAATCTATATATCCATTTTTGTCCATATCAAAAGTCCTAAATACGTGGTCGCAGAATTCTTCTGCGTTACCTGATGGGAAGAACATCTTGTACATGTCTACGAATTTGGCGGGTGTGAGTCGGCCGTTAGGACAGTCTTGCTGCAACAAAAAAGAGAAAAATCAATAAATTTTGTCAGAAGTAACGGTACAATTGTTTAAAAATTAAAAAAAAAATAAAACTGAAGTATAAAACCTCTTTTTTCGTAATAGGTATATGTAAATAAAGAAACAGTCAACCGTTGGCTGTACAGTGGAATATTGACTCCTGACCTGCATCCATAACTCAAAACAGTCGCAAATTAGTGGACTACCATATCGAGGGCTTACTGCAAAAATCCGTTAAGTTCATGTTTGGTCATTTTTTAGGTTTGTCCATAGAAAGTATTAGAAAGAAATTATCGACTGGTAAAACCCGTTTAGTAAAATCACTATCTAAACGTTAATACTCAATGTGACCAAAATATACTAACTCATACCGTTAACACAATCTTATACAAGCAAAATACTTTAAGTTGCTTTAAATGGATCTTACTATTACTATTTTTGATAAACAAAAAAAATTTCTTCTACAAAAATCCTTTATGTTTATTTAAAAGGTTTATAATGTAAAATAATAGCGATCTAGAATGCAAAAGCTACTACAAAAATCAGTTAAGAGCACATAGGTGATATTGCAGAGATATATTTACAAAATGATGAAATACAATACAGTTAAGGTATTTTAAATGATTTCTGCTGTTTATCACAATGTTTTTCGGGGAATAGCTTCTTCTTCTACTGAGCCATATACCTCCACCTAATCTTCGTCGTCAGCATGCTCTGCTTAGAGAATTCCAAAAGCTGCTTAACAACCCGCAATTACCTATACACACATATGTCGCCGACGCTAATTCACATCGATTGCGCTACAGAAAACCTCCGACTAGAGATGCAATAAACTTGAGTTCCAACAATTTCCAAATGAACTCCCAGTGGAAGAACAAGCAGAGCGACAGACCGAACCTAATAATGAGAAACACACCATGCATCACAGAAACTCCACCAGGTTTTGACCTCCCCCGAAAATCATGGTCAACTCTTAACAGGATAAGAGTGCTATAGAAAAAGCAAAGAAATATGTTTCTGTTTATACCATTCGGGACTGGTTTAATATTTTTAGAATATATTTTTAGAATCGCTAGAGCAAGACGCGTCCGAAACAAAAAAGTACAGGCTATAATGTTCGTCAGATGAATTTTTCAGATTTCAAAGACCTTACAGATTTATCAACAAAGTTAATAAAAAACAGGAACAAAAATACAAAAGTAGGCACCGTAAATTGGTTCAAAATCAAGTGTCTAAAATATGAAAAAAGTAAACCAGGAATAATTCAGTATAGGTATGACCATACTTCAGAGTTCAAAGTAATTCAAGTATTTGATAAAAGCCTTTCAAGTCCTTTTGGAAAAACAACCCTTCAAAATTTATATTTAAAAATAATTCCAATAACAGGAAAGAAAAAAAACTAGCCTGCTGCAACTGTGTCGTAAAGGGGGCATCCCAGAAGAATTTCACGGTTGGTACAAATCTTTGCCAACATCGAAATTACTGTAGACGAAGTTACCTCCTCAACCAACAATGATGAAGATATTGAAGACTGAAAGAATTTGTTAATACATGCTATAAAATTGTTCTTGTGTTAGTTTAAGATTAAACTATTAAATCCACTTTTGCTATTATTATTCTGCGAAGATCATTAAGTTCAGTATATTTTTTGTTTTTTAGCATCCCTTATAAACAATAATATTATGGTGAGTAACATATGTGTTGCCGAAATACATCAACCTTCAAATATTTTTTTTAACTATAAAAAAATAATAGTTTCATTTTATTGAGACCGCAAACATTGAAAGTTAATTTTCTCGGAACAAACAATTATGGACTTACGGATTTTTGTTTGTAAGTTCACGATATATCATTTTGTATACAATATACTAACCGAAAGACACTTCAAACATCGTGCAATTTCCTATCTTTTATATTTATTATATTCCTTTGATTTTAAAATTTTCCAATAAACTTTTCCTGCACTTATAAAAAAACGCATATAAATATAAGCTCGAAATATCAATGAAAACACGATGAAATAAACAATACCCGTCCGAACTTTAGTATCTGATAATTGAATTACCGAAATATTAGTATCCACAAAGTTTAAAATCACATAAATACCAATAACTGTACTTATCGAGCATGTAACATATTGAGTTATAATTAAAATAGCGATGAATATGCAAATAAATCTGAATTACAAATTAGGTTAATTCGTGGGGATGTGACAGTAAAACTAGCTAGCGTGTCCGCGGTTTATGCTAGAGATTACCTGTCAGGATAGGGCGGTGATATAAATAAAATATCATTATCTAAAATTTAATGAAAGAATAATACTATGTACACGACTACAAAAACTAAAATAGACATTGTTATATTAGAATAATATGAATATTTGATATGCACGGAAATTTGTCTCTTAGTAAATCGAAATATATTGATCCTCTCTACGAAAACCGTCATAACTTATTTTTTTTTTTCAATTTTGAGTTATTACCATAAACAGATTTCATTATACCTAAATTTGTTCCATTAATTTAAATGTAGTATTTCAATGCTCTCTGTACTTTACCTCGAAGAAAGTAGTATTATGGAGTTACTATAGTATTTGCTGTAAATTTGTGATAAGAGACTGGGCTATGATACCATATGGTATCATCATCTACATTAATTTGGTGAGATATTAGAAACATGTCTCTGGCTAAATTTAAATTTGGCAGAAAGGATATAAACATTTGTATTATTAACCATAGATTATTTACAAATATCGATAAAATTTATTATATAGTTAAATAATAACACCATACAGCGCCACGCTGGATAGGCAACGATGATCAGAGCTATAGTGTATTTTTATGTATGAGAGAGTAATAAAACAATAAATTATGTATGCAAATCCCTAAACTGTTGATACGGGTGACTCAATGAAAAACAGATATTTGTCAACAAGTTTACAGAAGTATATAGGAAAACAATTTTAAATTGAGTATGACCACCAGGTATAAAGGTTGGAGCAGAATAGAATACAATACTTGTGAGGGTTACTAATCCCTAAATAAGGTTGCCAGTGTCGGAGTGATGGAGGTTAAAAGGTACTAATGAATTTGCAAGAAATGTAAGATGTTTATTTTATTGGTTATATATAACCAATAAAAGTTTAATAAGTACCTACCTATTTGCAAAATAAAGTTTGATTCTTTAGATAAAATAAAACGTTTTATTTTATCTGAAATGAGTGCATTCCACGAAGTAAGGGTTTCAACAATCAAACATTTAATTCTTTAATTCCAGGAATCTACGACAGTAATTGACTAGATAATTACCTTCTAAACTTATTCCACAGAAAATGTGATAGCGGGTTTTTCCATTTTGTAGGAAGGTCCAAGTGGCGTATTCAAAATTCTTAACAGTTCACTAAAAGTAGGTACTTCAGTTGCAAGGTGCAGTTTATTGTGTATACTAGTGTTATGGAAAATTTGGAAGTGCCGTGTAAACGCCGAAAAATTGGTCCTTTAACAGTTAATGAAAAAACATTAATATTTCATTGTTTTAAATCATTTACAGACAAACGTTTATGTGAAAGTGTTGATGAGACCGTTGAGTTAGTTAGCAGTACACAGAGTTATTAAAGAAGAGAAATGTGGTAGTTTTCAAATGCCACGTAATGCTCCAGGGAAACCAAAATTTCAAATAGAATATCATTTTAAAGAAGGACTTCGACGGAAAGTGCATGAATTCTTCTTTAGACAAGAATTTCCAACATTGGATAAAGTTCTTGTCTCAGTTCGAGATGATAAGGATTACCCAGAAATGAGTCGAAGTACGTTATGGAAACTTTTAAAAGAAATAGGCTTCCGCTGGAAAAAGAATCCCAGAAAGTCTATTTTATTAGAAAGAAGCGATATTGTCATATGGAGAAGACATTTTCTAAGAACCATAAAGGAAATGAGAAACCAAAAAAGAAAAATATTTTATCTTGATGAAACATGGATCAACGAGGGTCATACACCAAATAAATTTTGGCAGGATGAAACTGTTACAAGTCAAAGGCACGCTTTTGTAAATAACTTATCTACTGGTTTAAACCCACCATCAGGAAAGGGACGCAGGCTGATAATAGTACACATTGGCAGTTCAGACGGTTTTGTTGAAGGTGGTTTATTACTTTTTGAATCAACTCGTACCGGTGACTACCATGAAGACATGAACGCTGATGTCTTTCAAGAATGGTTCGAACAAATGATAGATCTTCTTCCTAAGAACTGTGTAATAATAATGGATAATGCAAGTTATCACTCCAGACTTATAGAGGGACTGCCCACAACCAAGTGGTTAAAAAAAGACTTGCAGAATTGGCTGAGTTCAAAAAATATCACGTACCATCCCGGATCTATAAGAAAGGAACTTTATTCGTTGTGTGCCCTTCATAAAGAAAAATTTAAAAAATACGAAATTGATGAAATTGCCAAAAATCGTGGAATGACAGTACTTTGATCCCCGCCATATCATTGTGAATTAAACCCGATTGAACTGGTATGGGCACAGATACAGAGTGAAGTTTCAAGAAAAAATACCACTTTTAAAATTCATGATGTTAAACAGTTGTTTTTGGAGGCTGTAAATAATGTAAAACCTGAAAACTGGGAAAAGGCAGTAAATCACACTATTAAAGAAGAGGAAAAAATGTGGAAGCTGGACAATATTACTGATAAAATGATCGAGCCAGTTATTATAAATCTTGGTTCTGAAAGTGCATCTTCTGAATCTAATTTGGATTTGTAAGTAGCTGTAAGTTTTATATTAATATTTTTATTCATCTATTTAACATACCTTAGACGGTTTTAAAAACTCTTTTGTAATTTTTAAAAATTAAAAAAAATGTGAATTTTTTAAAACCCTTTTTAATGTAGGCCAGTCAGTTCTAATATAGTGTGTGATAAAAGAGGTCACTTTTGTTTACATAC